ATATATAAAATTTGACTTCTGACTTTGGATTGGGAGGAACACTTCTTATAATTGTGACAGCCAGTACATATTGAGCACTTAGCTCAGGCCAGGCACTCTTCTAAGCAAGCCTTAAATGTATTAATTCATGTCATGCTCACAACAACCCTGTCACCCCCATTTTACTGATGAGAACACTGAGGCCCAGAGTGGTTAAGGGACTTGTCCAAGCAGTTGCACAGCCAGTTAGTGGCAGAGCTGGGTTGAATCCCACACTCACCACTTGCTACCCCTCCATGAGGACACCTGAGGCTCAAGTCTCAGCTGCAGTGGGGCTTAGAGGTTGGCCAGTTTCCAGGCTGTTAAAAGTCATGGATGAGGTTAATGACGTGTATGTGTGACTCTGCTCTGCCTGTTTGCCTGGCCCAAGAGGCCTAGTTACCTTCTCTCTCTTCTCCTTATTCCTGCACCAGCCCACCTCTGCGTGAGGTTATTATTGTTGTTATTGACAGTCATGAATGACATGGTAGGAGTGACCTTGCACTGTGGAATGCCTTCCAAAGTGCCTTTGGCCTCTCAGCTTTGTAAGCACCAGTTACCCATTTTTCTGATGAGGAAACCTAACCCTTGAGACTCGATCTGCATTGCCAGCCAGATACCCTTGTTCCTCTCATGTCTGATTCTATAAACATCCCTCTTCTTATCATCCTTTGTGTCCCACCAGAGGCGGGAGAGGCCATGGCTGAGAGGATACTCCCCATCTTATGGCTGCTGCCTCCATCAGCCCCAGGCAGCACGGGGTGGGGGGGAAGCTGGGGGAGATGAAAGGGGCCTTTGTGTTCCCTGCCGGAAATCTCATACCCAGGAAGAAAGGTGGGCAGAGTGGCAGGAGGCATGAATGTGGGGTGTTGCTGATACAGAGGGAGCTCCTCTCCAGGCTTGGCTCACCTGCCAAGCATGCAGGGAACTTGCCTTATTCTGCCCTTTCACCTCCATCATGGACTGCTGCAGGGTCCTGGGTTGGGCTTGGGCCTCGGTCATAGAGCAGATGGTCCCAAGTGGAACGCAGGATGTGTGATGTGTGCTGGTGCAGTCCCAGAGCCCAGGTGGTGGTATTGGGGAAACAGTACATCATACCACTCAGAGCGCTCAATTTCCTTGACTCTTAGCCATAAATGCCCAACAGGGAAGAATGGTGGGGGGACCCCAGCATGGATGTGAAGCAGCATGAGTCCCCTTTCCCACTCCTCCCTTGCAGGAGTAGCCTCTGTCAGCCTCCAACCCAGGACCCAGCCCCCCAAGATCTGATTCGGCCTGCTCTTATGCCTCTGTGATCAGCATCAGGCCTCTTCACCTCTCCAAGCCCCAGCTTCCACATCTACAAGCTGACTCTGAGGAGCTGGGTCTGCACCATCTACCCAGGTTTGTAGGGAACGGAAGGGGTTAAGCCACATGTGTGTTTTGTCATTTTGCTGGGATGATTTCTCCTGGAGCTGCAGAAGGTGGTAGGGTCTTGAGACCTGGCCTCTCATTAGGAAAGTTGACCTTCTCTCTCTCCAACTGGGAAATTGTTACCTCAGTAAGCGTAAGAATTGCCCTAAGACTTTTTCACACCTACGTCTTGCCCTGGGAGGAAAGGGTAAGGGCCTCGGGAATGTGATGAGGAGCACACACCAATTTGCACCCTGGGCCTCACCAGACCTTCATCCCCCAACTCCCAGGTAATACCCTGGGGTAAGCAGGGTCTGATCTGGGAACTTGGGCAGCCCCAGAGACAGCCACAACTGCTGTTACCCTTAGTCTTTCTTCCCCAGTTCTCAACTGGGTGTATGGGGTGAGAAGGGAGGTCCAGGCTCTCTTCTTGGCTGTTCTGGACACCCTGAGGGTACCTGACTCTGAGACTGCCCCTAAGGGTGGCCCGAGCCTCAGTGGCAGACAGGCAAGGGTTAAAAGGTATGGGCCGGCCCAGTCCCAGGCCAGGTAGGCTGGGCCATTGCCTAGTGGGAGGCGGTCTAGGCGGCTGCCACTGCACTCACTGCTCACTGCCACTACCAGCGGGAGCCGGGCCTGGTGGAGACAACTATTTTTTTCAGGTACCTGAGGCCACCCCACAGTACCTATCTGGTATTGGTGAGCACCTGGGAACATGGGCCCATGGGTTGGGGTGAGGAGGGTATGGGGTGTGCTAATGTTCCTTGAGGGAAAGAATTAGATCTATGCTAAAAGACAGTGAGGAATGGGGGGCCCCCCCGAGTAGATGGGTGAAGCCCAAAATGTCCAATTTCCTTTCCTGGCATGAAGCTGATCCCTTGCCGGAAATGGAGGAAGGGAAGGATCAGGGAAAAGAGAAGCCAGAGTCCCCCTTCTCCACTCCTCCCACTTCCTCTTCCCCCTTCCTTCCCTGTGGGAGTATAGCCTCTGCCCTCCCTCAACCTGGGGCCCAGCCTCTCAGGAAAGCCCAGACGATTGAGAACTCGCCTGCCTGCCCACCCCGATCTGTTCACCTAGAGTGGGGCAGCGGGCCCTTAGGGCAGTATGAACAGTCTAGACACTGGGAGTTTGTATTTGCTCCCATGGTGGCAGGATGTGGAAATGGGGGTCCTATTGAAGGTGTTAGGGTGCCACCCAAGTGAGGTGTCTTGGTTGTAAACAGTCATTATAGCCAGGAATTTCTTGGTTGTGGTGTCAGAAGGGCAGACCTGAAAAACCTGCTGGGCCCGCCTCTGGGTGTGGGAGTGCTCTCCAGAACTCTCCTGCTGCAGCCCATCCAGGACAGCACAGGCCCACCAGTGGGGAAACCCAGGGGCTGGTGTGGGAGGATGTTGGGAAGGGGGCTGCTGAGATCCCCTTCGCGTCATGTCTGGGTAGGCACCTGGCAGCCCTGGGCCCCAAAGCAAATGTTTCAAGGGCTGGCGTGCAGAGGCAGAAGTTCCAGAGCTGGGTGCGGGGGTGTGGGGCGTGGACCCTGTGTCTAGCCTGCCCAATGACCCCATGACTCAGGCCCTAGCTATGTCCCCAAGGTCAGGCTGATAGGGTGGAGTCAGGGTTCCTTTCTGGACCCCGTGTTGACTTCCAAGATACCGTGAGCTCCCAGGGAAGGAAGGCTTGAGACAGCTTAGTGTCAGATGTAGGACCAGTCCTGGCGAACAGGTCCACCGGGGAGGAGTGGGGGTTGCTGTTGGGGTGAAGGAATGTTTAGGGGAGCCCTGGGAGAGTTCCTCAAGCCCAAATGGATGCTGGGGTAGAAGGACTTCCAGGAGCCTAGGGGCAGAGGAGGCTGAGCTGGGACCTCAAGGAAACCCCACTGTGCTGGGCAATGTCATACCTCAGAACATGGGCATGTGAGCACCTCTGCAAAGCACACGCTGCTGCCTGGGTGTGCAAAAGGGCTTTAGGTACTGATTGCTGCCCCTGATGTTTAGGACAGGGAACCACAGGAGGGGTACAGACCCTATGGGGTGGGTAGGAGGACTGCCAAGGAACTGGTAGCACCAAATTAGCTGCTTGGTCACATCTCCCAATGTATAGATGGGGAAGGTTCTTGAACTCCTGCTTGTTCAGTTGCCTGGGTCTTCTCCACACCTAGCCAGTGTGTCATAACAGGCTGAGGAGTTCGAGGTAGGTGGGGATGGGACCTCTGTGGCCTCATGAGGCCCTCCCAGCCGCCTACCACTGAGGTCAGGCCAGGTGGTGGCAGGTGATGTCACCTGGCTGCCCAGCTGGGGACCGAGCAGGATGTGGGAGGGAGGGAACAAACTCCAGAGGAGGGGAGGAGGGCAGGGCTGGTAGGCAGCCAAAGCAGGCCCCATGGTCAGCTAGGGCAGCTTGGGGCAGAGAAAGAGGCAGAAGACAGTTGGCTTGTTATCAGTAGTTGTGGACTTTACAGTTCAAAGTCCCAGCAGGGGCACTTCCCTCTGCTGGGTGCAGGACAGGCTGGGGTGGACAGAGGGGCTGGAGGGGTCCTGGAGCCAAGTGGACACTCCCTGCCACACCAGAGCTGCAGGATAGAGTTGGGACAAGTAGTGACCCATAGATCTAAGCCTGATCCCTGGGCTGACTGCCTCGTCATTCTTTCATTCATCCAGCAGACATTCACTGAGCACTTGCTGTGCACACAGAATTGTCCTGAGTGCCAGAGATACTGATGAAAACAGGACAGACACGTTTCCTGTCCTCATGAATGTACGAGGGAGGTAGTCTCTTGTTGGACAGCAGTTGTGGGGGGGGGGGCATAATGTAGGGGCCCACCTCTGGAAGTGACACTTAAGTCCCAGCATGTGAGGACCAGGGGCTGGTGTAGTGAGAGGTGAAAAGAGCACTCCACACAGCAGCCACAGCCTGGACAAAGGCCTTGAGGTCAAATGGGCTGCGAACTTATGAGGGATTGGGGGGGTTGGAGTAGCTCTAGTGATGGAGAGTGCTGGACCAAAGGGGTAGGCCTGGGCTCTATCCTTAACCAGAGGCAAGTTACTTCACCCCTCTGTGTCTTACTCTCCTCATCTCTAAACTAGGGGTAATGATAATCACAGAACTGCCATCACAAGGTGGTTGTGAAGATTAAAGGTGGCATATAAGGTAACTCTTCCAGGCACTCCAGTGCTTAATAAATGCCCACTGTTGTTATAGTTGACTGAATCTGTGACATTAATTCTCCCTTCCCAGGTGAGACTCCTGACTGTGGCCCATGGGCCTCTGAGGAGGCATCATAAGTCCACCCAGCTCCCCACTTGCCGTGCTCCCACTCAATGGGAAGGGAACCAAGGTACCAGGGCCAAGTGGAGGCCAGATGTTGATACAGATTCTGAGAGGGCAGGTCAAGCAGGCGGGTGGGGTCAGGATACCCTTTCTTCCTGGGGTGTGGGAAGCTGGGTGAAGGACCACACATGTGCTTTCTTAATGGTTCCCGTGCATCACTGCCAGGCCTTGTCCCACCATAAGCCACGGCCTCTTGACAACACCGGGATGGAAGTCAAAGGTCAGCTGATCAGCTCTCCCACTTTCAATGCCTCAGGTTGGTATCTGGTTCCTCCTTCTGCTGCCTCCTCCCTTGCTCTGAGTCACCACCTGCTCGCCCACTTGGGAAGGGTTGGTCCCTGGCCCCACAGGATGAAGGATGCCATGGCTGCCCCACTGATCTTTGCTCCCTCTGTGTCCAGCTGCCCTGTTCGGAGAGGCTGCTCCCCAGGTGAAGTCAGAGCGTTTGAGGGGACTGCTGGACCGGCAGAGAGCTCTGCAGGAGGCCCTGAGTCTGAAACTTCAGGAGCTACGCAAAGTGTGCCTCCAAGAGGCGGTGAGGGCCTGGCCCTAAGAGTGTCGGGTGGGGAGTGAGAATCTGGGACCACTCCTTAGGCAGACTGCGGTGGCCATTGCTGAGCCACTTGTCTGAGCTGCAAATTCTGTCACCCTTTAGCTCCTCAAAGCTCATCTTAGATGTCTTACAATCAATAAAATATGGCAATGGAGGCTCCCCCTCAACAACTTGAAATCCAAAAAACCCCTCACAAAACAATTGTTCTTTCCAAAATTTGGTAGTAAAACCTGATCTGAACTGACCTGGGGTGATTTATAGTGGTGATTTACCCCTCTTGGTGTGAATGTCCACAGTTTGCCAAAATAATAATGCAGTTCAAAGCATATAGCACCAGGCCCTAAAGGAGTGTTCTATGATGTGCGGTATATAGACTGTGTCTTCATAGAAACTCAGAAATTCTGGGTCTCAAAGCAAGTCTCCCCGCCTCCCATCCCCACTGCCTGGGATTTGGGCCATCAAGGGGCTGAGAGTCCAGGGTGCACATCTGCCTGGTAGAGAATTCGAAGGAGGAAGAGAAATAACAGGCATGTGATGCTGAGCAGGACTGGGCTCCTAGTAGGACTTCTGTAGTTTCTGGGGTCCTTACTGCTTTACCCTATCTTCCCAACTGACCCTTGATAGTCTCTACCCCTGCCGCACCCCCTCAGGAGTTAACTGGCCAGCTGCCCCCTGAGTGCCCACTGGAGCCTGGGGAACGGCCCCAGTTGGTCCGCCGGCGGCCCCCTGCAGCCCGAGCCTACCCTCCACCGCCCCCCAACCCAGCACACCACTCCTTGTGCCCTGCTGAGGTGAGCAGATGGTCAGAGAGAACTAGTTGGGGGTGGGACAGATACAGAGGAGGAGGAGCCGGGAGGGAACCTGGGCAGAAAGGGGGGTTGTGTCCAGGGGAAGGAGATGCCAAGATGAAAAGGGACCTTGCCTGAAGGAGGTAGGTGGGTTCCTGGTCTGAGAGGATGCTGGTCCCCAACTGTGAGGAAAAGCCTCTCACCCTCTGGAAGAAATAGGCCCAGACCCTAATCAAGACCAGCCCTACCCCCAGGAAGAACAGGCCCCACCTCAAATGTAGATGGGACCTGCCACCGCCTGGCTCCTGTGCTTGGCATTCTCCAACATTTGGTTCTGTCCCATTCTCTTGGGTGGGCCCCGCAGGAGCTGGCTCTCGAGGCTCTGGAACGCGAGGTGTCAGTGCAGCAGCAGATCACAGCAGCTGCCCGCCGCCTGGCCTTGGCCCCTGAGCTGAGTGCTGAGCAGCGCCGGCGCCGGCGCCAGGTGCAGGCAGATGCTCTTCGGAGGCTGCATGAGCTGGAGGAGCAGCTCGGGGACGTCCGAGCCCGCCTAGGTCTCCCAGTGCTCCCGCTGTCCACAGGGGCAGTTATAACCACCCAGAATGTCTGCCTGGGCACACGCCTCACTCAGCTCAGCCAAGGTGAGCCAGGCTCCATCACCTGACCAGTGATAGGAGGGGAATAGGCATTGGCTAAGGTGGGGTGGGGAACAGCCAGTGAAAAGTGGGCGGCAGGCAGAACCTAAGGGACCTGAACAATAAGAGGAGTGGTGATAAACTGGCTCTGGGCAAGGGTGGGGCCATTGGGACTGACCCATAGGTGGAGCCAAGTCCCTGGTGGTCTGGGATTCAAGTAAAGGTGGATTCTTGGGGAGGGTACTGGCCAGTGGTATAAGGGGATGGCCCCAGGCCTGGCATTGATGGGCTGGGGTCTCTCCCTTCTCGCCTGTAGAGGATGTAGTTCTGCACTCAGAGAGCAGCTCTCTCTCAGAGTCTGGGGCCAGCCATGATAATGGTGAGGACACCTTTCACCCAAACCCACCCATCCTTTGATGCTCAGCTCCTCCCTGCCCTCTCCAGTTTCTCGTTAGCCATGCCCCATCCTCCAGTGGGGCTCCCCTCTTCCCTTTTAGCCTGCTCAGCCCTGCCCAGCCCTCTCCCCCTCCTTGCCTCCCTAGCCCCTGCCCTTTGCTTTGCCCACGACCAACCTATCTGGCCCCCTCTCAATGAATTCTCCCCCACTTTCTTCTACCCAGAGGAGCCTCGTGGCTGCTTCTCTCTGGCTGAGCGCCCCTCGCCACCCAAGACCTGGGACCAGCTGCGGGCAGTGTCTGGGGGCAGCCCTGAGCGGCGAACCCCATGGAAACCACCCCCGTCAGACCTTTATGGGGACCTGAAGAGCCGACGGAACTCTGTGGCCAGCCCCACCAGGTGAGGGCGAACCCCTCCCCTCCTTTCCCCATGAGCCAGGAGTTGGGTCCTGAGCCTGAGCTGGCAGGAGGGCCTGCCAGTGGGGGGACAGTTTCTAACATTAACCTGTACCCGGTCCTGCCCGTCTCTGTCTAGCCCCACACGCTCGCTGCCCAGGAGTGCCTCCAGTTTTGAGGGGCGAAGTGTGCCTGCCACCCCTGTCCTCACCCGGGGCCCTGGCCCCCAGCTCTGCAAGTAAGGGGATTTGGAGGGTGGGTTTGATGACCAGAGGAAGGAACTGTTAGTTCTAACTGGGAAAGCATTACCAAAGGGTGTGGGACATGAGAAGCTGGGCTTTGAAATGTGAATTGGGATTTTTTGGTAGAAAAGAAAGGGTTAGGGACTTGGGGGCAGAAGCCCCAACGATCAAGTATGGGCTTCTCTGTGCATTTCAGACAAGTCATTTTCCATCTCTGAATCCTGTTTTCATTTGTGAAATGGGAATAATAACATCTGCCTTTGAAAGATGCTGTGGGCATAATAAGTTCGGTTAATATACGCTGAGTACTGAATGTCTGCTAGGGATCAGTGCACTACATGGTATCAATTCATTTAATCACAAAATCTCTTTGAGGAGGTGCTATTGTTATTCCCATTTTATAAATGAGGAAACCAAGGCACAGAGAGGCTAAGTGACTTGTTAGTAAACCAAAGACCTAGTATTTGAACCCTAAGTTTGACTCTAGTTTCAGTGCTTTTAACCACTGTACTCTACTGCTTCTTAAATACCAAGTGCCTGCATTTCTCAGGCTATGAACAAAACAAAGTCCTGGTCCTTATGGTACTTGCATTCTGTGGTGGTGGCTTGTGGAATGATAGTTTTGGATGGTTCATACACATGGGGGGGTACAGAGAATTTAGGAATGGCCTTGAATTCGAGGCCTAAGGATTAGTACCTCATTGTGGAGGAGGTGGGGAGCCATGAGAAGCACCTTAGTAAAAGGTGCTGGTCAGATGTGTTAGAAGAGCCTGCTTCGGGCCTTTCCCTGACAGCATTTCCTCTCTAGCCCCCCACACACTGGCATCTACCTTGAAGCTAACAGTCCCAGGCCCCCCATACATTTTTAATCCCTCTCCCCTCCAATCTGGGACAGAACCTCTTCTGCCCTTTACATGCCTCTACCTAACACGTTTTTACATACAGTTTCTGATCCTGGGTCCATTTAGGGGATGGGAAAGTGAAGGCTCAGAGAGAGGTATGGTATGGACCTGGGGCACTCAGCCCATCTGCCTGATATATCTGACCTTCCTCCCATCACCCTCTTTCCTCTCCTCCAGACCTGAAGGCCTCCATTCACGCCAGTGGTCTGGCAGCCAGGACTCCCAGATGGGATTCCCTCGGGCAGACCCGGCCTCGGACCACCGCGCCTCACTCTTTGCAGCTCGCACCCGCCGCAGCAACAGCTCTGAGGCCCTGCTAGTGGACCGGGCAGCTGCAGGGGGAGCTGGCTCCCCACCTGTGCCTCTGGCTCCCCCTGCCACTGGTCCCCCAGTCTGCAAGAGCAGTGAGGTGCTGTATGAGCGCCCCCAACCAGCCCCTGCCTTCTCCTCCCGCACAGCTGGCCCCCTAGATCCTCCCCGGGCTGCCCGGCCGAGCTCAGCTGCCCCTGCGTCCCGTGGGGCCCCCAGGCTCCCACCTATGTGTGGAGACTTCCTCTTGGACTATTCCCTGGACCGGGGCCTGCCCCGAGGAATTGGTGGGCCAGGCTGGGGGGAGCTGCTGCCTGCAGCTGAGGTCCCAGGACCCTTCTCCCGCCGGGATGGGCTCCTCACCATGTTCCCAGGCCCACCACCTGTGTATGCAGCTGATGGCAGCAGCCCCCTCCTCCGCAGCAAGGACCCCCACACCCGTGCCACCCGCACCAAGCCCTGTGGCCTGCCCCTGGAGGCTGCAGAGGGTCCAGAAGTGCATCCAAACCCTCTGCTATGGATGCCCCCACCCACTCGTATCCCTCCAGCTGGCGAGCGCAGTGGCCACAAGAACCTTGCCCTTGAGGGGCTACGGGACTGGTACATCCGGAACTCGGGACTGGCCTCGGGGCCCCAACGCCGGCCTGTGCTCTCCCACATGGGCCCGCAACACCCGCCCTTCCTCCATGCCCGCTGCTATGAGGTGGGCCAGGCGCTCTATGGGGCCCCCAGCCAGGCACCCCTCCCGCACTCGAGGAGTTTCACGGCGCCCCCTGTCTCCGGCAGGTATGGGGGGTGCTTTTACTGATGGGTACGGGTCTCTTAAGGTAGACGGCAAAGTCTCCAGGCTAAGGGACAGATAGTTGTGAGCGCTAATGACTTGGACAATGAGAGTGCTAACTGCAGGTTGGCACAAGGTCACTGGGCTCTGCCTGACCTATGTTAGTGCATAGGGTCTCAGTGGAGGGGTATCTTGGGCCCTGGTAGCAGCAGTTCTTTACCAAGCTATAGAAGGATTTTAATATTTTAACAACCAGTGCATGCCAGCTGAAAATGAACCTTGGAACCAGGGTGCTGGGAAGAAGGGACATCCTGTGCCCTTGCCTTTCTCTTCCTCTTTTCACCACACCCTGTGCTTGTGAGCCTCCAGGTGCTGTCCTGTGCCTCCCTCCGCCGCTTTAATGAGCCGATTTTCCTCTCTCTTTCTGTGTCTTGTACGTCTTTTCTTCTCTTCTCTGCCTTCCCACCCTGTCCTCTGGATTCCTGCTACCCACTTCTAAAGATACTACGCGGACTTCCTGTACCCCCCGGAGCTGAGCGCTCGTTTAAGTGACCTGACGCTAGAGGGGGAGCAGTCCTCCAGCTCTGATCCTCAGACCCCGGGGACACTGGTCTGACCCCTTCTGGTACGCTCCTTGTTGGCCTGGGCATGACTCCAGGCTGGGGAGCACACAGCTGACCTCGCCGAGTCCCGGGGTCTGCTTGTTCTTGGTCCTGGGTGAGGGGTGCCAACCTGATCTTCCAAGGCCCCTGGCTCTGTGTGGGCCCATGAAGGTGTCTGACGCCCTGCTTCTCCTCTCATACTGTGCTGGGAACTGGGGGCCCTCAGCCAGCTTAAAAGAGGGGGGATGGTGTAATGGGGGCTCCAAGCCCCCTCCTCCTTTTCTGTTTACAGTTGTGATTTAGGTTTTCACTGTCTCTTCCCAACACTAGACATTTTATAAAAGGGAAACTGTGATATTGTCTGGTTGGGTTCATTCCTGTTCCATGCCCAGCCTGTTCCATTCAGGAAACCCCCTCCATGAAATGGACCATATAGAGTTGCAGGGCCCTGTTTGGGGCAGCTAGGTACTCTGGTGTGAACAGAACTCTCTGCCACCCCCCACCAGGGCAGTTCTTGGGGAGGTGAGCTCTCTGCCCACATTTGGTGGGGGGGGCTTGGGTTCATTTTCCCACCCCAGGGGTGCGGGAAGGAGCCCCAGTTCCTGTCTGCCTGTCTGTGCCCGCTTCCTCTGCCCCGAGGCCGAGATGGCCCAACCTTTGGCAGCAGCCTCTACCCTATCCCCACTCTGGAGGCTCCACAGGAGGGCCCAAGGACAGAGCCATTGGGTGTGTTGTGTCCTGGGATGCTGCTGTGGTGGAACCTCAGGTGACGCCTGGCCACAGGCTGCGTCACATCTTCCTTGACTTTCCTTCCTTCTGCCACTTTTTAAACAAATCTACGCAACCTGTGTTTTCTATACCTGTCTGTGATTTTCTGCAGCTAGGGGTCCCCATACCCTTTACCTGGTGTTAAACTTTTCTTTTTGTATCAGCGGATCTGGGCCCAAGACACTACCAACATTGGAAGAGGATTTCTAAAATAAATGTGTAAACTGAACCTATGTGTTGATCTTCTCCCTGCCTTGCCTTGGGTCCCATACCTGTAGTTAAGACCAGATGTTTTTATAACACCGTGTTATGAAAAATATAACACTGTGGAAATAGCCTGTGACAACGTCATCTGCTTTTAGCTTTACTTGTTTTGCCAGGTGGGGCAACTTCTTTGCCTGTCTGTGATCAGTTTTCTAGCCAACCCTGAACAAGAGCCCTTAGTAATACAAATGATAATGGGAACACTGCATGCCCTTAACTACCTTTGCGTTAATGCCGGAGGTAACAGGTTCCCAGGAGAGATCACCCCATCAACCCACATATCTGACAGAGACCTACCCAGTCAGAAAGAATCTAACAGAATTTAAAAGAAGGCCACTATGATAGGCCCAATTAGCTTGAGTGATGTAACAGCCTTTATTGTAGCAACAACACTGATATATATGCCTCATTCCAGGTTAGGACTACCCCCACCCCACCCCATGGTCCTTACCACAGTGGAACTTGGAGGGGGGGGGCGTGCAGGGCAGAATCCCTAAGCAGAGCTGGAGGGAGGCAAATGGGACTGGTGAGTGTTAGGGTAACTTGGGATCAAGGTTCAACAGGATCAGAATACCTGACTTCTACCCAGAGGGGGACCGACAACACTTGGTTCCTGGAGTCAGGATTTGGCAATGCCTTGTTCTGGGTTCAAAGCTGTGGTGTGGTCTGAAAAAGCCTTGGTCTAAGGTTCAAGATTTGAGAATGCCTTGGTCCCACACCCCAGCTTTGGGGCTGAGCATGGGAGACAAGTGTATCCCAGATTAGGTTTGGGGGAGTGTCTACCTAGTTTGATATTGGCCATGGATACTCCTGTCTCCAAGCCCCAGTTTTGGGCTGGATGTGGGTGGTTCTGTGTCCTAAGTTCAGGACTGAGGAACTCTGTTCCTCTAGGTAACAGGGACTGGGTATGAGGGATATCCCAGTTTTGGATCTCAGGGCAGGGGGGCAGCATTATAGATGCCCTTATTTTTGAACTGGGCAAGGGGCTCCTATTTTAAGGGCTGGGAAAAGACTCTGAATCTCAGTTATGGGTCGGGGTTGGGGGTGGTATCCTTCAGGTTTTGGGTACAGATCCCAAGGCCCTAGGATCCAGCCTCCTGCTCTTGTCCCAGCGCCTCCAGTAGCAGCCCCATTGGTGTCCGCTTGAGACCAATGCTCTCGATCTTGTTCTCTATCTTGTTCTTGAGGTTGCGCAGGCGGAGCGAGGCATGCACCAGGATCACTGTGGGCAATACCGAAAGGAGTGGAGTCAGTGGAATGGGACATCAACCTTTAGCCAATGGGGCCCACAGAGGGGAAGTGGAGCGCAGGCAGGCCAATGGAGTGGTCAGTGGACAGGGCACCTCTGATCCTTAAACTGTGGCAGAGTAACGCTTTGTAACAGAGGCGTGGCCATGGAAGGTACTTAATACCAGGAGTGAGGCCTGGAAAGGCAGTATTTAGAGAGACCTTCCCAGAAGAGGGAAACGAAGCCAGGGAAGGTGCTTTGTAAAGGGGCGTGGCCACGCCCACCGGCTCTCCCAGCCCCCCCTCCACCCAAGAACCAGGGCAGGGCGGGCCCGGCGCCACGCACAAGCGCAGGCCTTGTTCCCGGCTATCTCAGGATAATGGAGACTCACGAAGCACTGGCCCGGCAATGCTGAACAGGAAGGTGCAAGCACCGCCCACCGCCCAGAGAACCAGGAGGCCAACGGCAAGCACTGCAGCCAGGCAGGCGGCAGGGTGACTGCGGCGGCAGCGGCGCACGGCCGCACGACTCTCGGCCGCCCACACCAGCACCCCAAGGGCCACCGCCACTACCAGCGTGCTTAGGAGGGTGTGCAGCGGGCGCACGTACCTGCGGGGACAATAGAACTAAGCTAGTCAGCCAGTCGGGGAGAGGGCCGCTCGGCCTCCAAGCCCCCCAGACCACCGTGGACAGGATCCCAGGCCCTAAGAGCTTTGGTCCCTCTTCTCCAGACCCTGCAAGCCGGACAAATACTCCCGCCAGCCCTGTCTCCAACAAGTCCACCCTTCAGGGCAACGGACTCCCAGGAGCCCTGGACTCCCTATGGACCCTTTCTTTTCAATCCTACAGCCCCATTTTCCTGAGCTTCAGGCGCTCCCATCCCGATAAGCTGGCTCCTTCCCTGCTGTTTCCTTCTGATCCTACCCCCTCTCCATCCTGTCCCCAAACCCACTCTTGAGCCCAACCCTTGCAGATTATTTTTCCAGGCCTTGTGTCCACGCATTTCCCTCTCCCCAGGCCCAGGTTCCCTCCAGGAACCGACCCCCCCCCCAGGTTTTAGGTCCTACTCTTAACTTCCAACCCTACTCAAGTCCCTCCTCCAGGCTCTCCAACCCTCTCTGGTCTCAGGCCTTCGGTCCCTGGATCCTCCTTCCTGGCTCAAGTTCCCCAACAGGTACCTGCTCCTAACTGCGTTCCAATCATAGACTTCCCTCCAAGCCCTGATTCTCCAAAAGTCCACCCTCCAAACCCTTCAATTAGACCACAGGGACATCCCTGTCCCTACCCTAAGGCCTCCAGGGCCGCTCCGGACCCATCACTCAAGTGGACCCACTACCCCCAGACACACTCACACCCCACTTTCTAGCCCTCGTTATCTTCAGGTCCACCTTCCAGCCGTTTCCCCTTCAGTTCCACATTCTCCACCCTTCTCAGGTCTTCCTTCCAGTCCCGCTAACCCCCTCGGGCCCCACTCAGCCAGGCTGTATCCAGCTCCAGTCCCTCCTTATAACTAGGTCCCACTCCACTCAAGTCCCCACTCCCAAACCCCTTAGGCTTTACAACTCTGAATTTTCCTTTCCGTGCCTTGCACCCACTCCC